AATGAAAATATGGAAAAATTTATATAAATTAATGAATAGTATGCTACGGCGCCAACATTAGAGCAGTTGTCTCGCTGCACCGAACACCCAACTTTGCTGAGCCCATCTATTTGTGCCTTGGGCTGAGCGCAATGTAATACACTCGAAAACGCCCAACTATGCCTGCACCCAAAAGTGTCAATCTCTATTTATCAAAATTCACCACCAACCACTTGAGGACACATTCATACAAGCACCCCAACTCATTCTTCATCGCCATTATAACAATTCTCGAAAAAATTCAAATCCTTACATTTTTCCAATCAGTTAAAATGGGTAGACTCAAATGATCTTAACCTGGAGAGATAATAAAATAGCCTTGAGCACTTTTCCTAGATTGATTTTATGTGTGTGAACACCACCCCTATTCTCCAAACAACAATATGAGATGATTTATCTATTATTCCAAAATTTAGTGTGGATTATATAAATTGGATCAACAATATAAATTTGTGTGTTGATGAATGTTTTAAGAATAATGAGTGAATTATTGAATGAATATGATGAGAGAGCTCACTTAATTCTGGATGAATGTGAAAAAATGCGGACATGATGGAAACTTTGGCTTGAGGTGAGTCATACTTAATTATATCAAGGATATTCTAAAAGAAATATGAGATGGAGAATGTTAACTACTGAATACACCCAGTGAGCATCTACAATTTAATCTAGGATCAAATGATATGTAACATCACCCTAGACCATCAGAGGAGCTCACAGTACATCAGTGCGCGGATACATTGGTCTCATTCACCTTTCTGTATATCGGCTCAATCAGAGTGGCTTAAATTCGACTCACTCAAAACGAAGTTATAACCGGCACTGCCTTAGACTGTATATCTATTTTGTTAGAATTTCAAAGACTGTCCGTATGGCTTCCACTATGACGTGCCCTTAGACGACTTGTCTTTAGATCTTCGAGCGTATCTCCGAGTCAAAACCTTTATCCCAAAACATAGGCTCATCCTTTTGATCGATCTATTATGTGTATTCATACGTCAAACTTTGTAAATATTCAAGCCATTCATCACTCATCTCCACCGCCTCTCCCCTCCGTGCTCTCAACTAAACCTCCCTAGCTACCGACTAGTGAACGTCCTCATACGAGTGATATTTATAGCTACCTATTCCACCGACGTGATAGTGAGAATACATTATCGTAAGGAAAATTGTGATTGCTCAATACTATAGCTTAAAGCAATAAATCCATTGACATTGGACCCCTTGTTGGCACATTCCGAATTATGTGTTGATACAACTAGTGCCATCTACGATCTCTAAGACCTCTCACACATTCGTTTATATTTATAGTATTTGAACAGTGTCAACATTATGCATCATTTCATCAGACAATTCTATGTTTAGCAAGAGATATGAACTGTAACACTCATGTTGTGTGTGAATGTTAACTCGCCTGGCACTCCAAAGGCGACTCTACAGGATACATGTCCCAGTTAACACGTTTTACTCATATAGGTGTTTGATATTCATGACTTATTCAAGATGAATTTGATATCAACCAATTATATGTTTGATGTTCGCATGTATTTTATATTGTGATTTTTTTTGTGATCCTAATTATGTGTGATATTTTATTTGAGCTTCACTCATGAGTTTTTCCTGTCATTTTATAAAAAAAAAACTCACATCATACTATTATAATTAGCACGGTATTATATGATATTCAATTCTGCCAGCACCCTTGCACAACAGATCCACGGCCCTGATGATTAATTATTGGTGATTGTACCATACGAACACCAACTTTTGTTTATTGATACACGTTGGCACTTGCATATAGATGAATTTAAATTCAACGATATGATATTAAAAATGTATCACTATATGATATATGGTTTGTACTTCTTACGACCTAGGTTAGTCAAAATTATATCACACGCTCGATGCTCAGGATACCGACTGCGGGACTAACACCACTGACGGTGGCTCGGCCCTGCATCAGTATTGTCCTTACTCGTGTTATCTATCCATATCATTTCCAACTGTTACTGTGAAAGACCAACTTTTTGGACTGATCAAATTGACAATTAAATTCTTTGATCATACTTGTATGATATGTTACCACAGATATGATATGTACCGTTACAGTATGATATGCCTAAATTCTATTAAGGGGAGAGATTTCAAGTTGTCATTCACTCTCTTCATCCTCACCCCTTTCTACCTTTGTCCAAGGCTAGGGGAAAATGTCTCTAGGGCTCTCGTGGAAGCATTCTAGATGTCCTGTAAGATCCCTAATTTCCTAAAGTTAATAGATGAAGAAGCATATCATTGCCACAATACTGGAGGGATCCAACCCTCTAAAATCATCAATCAGGAAGTTCTAAACTCCACGTACGTCCATCTTTTGCGCTTAGAACCACACCTCCAATTATACTTACTACTTAACATTCCTCTTCAACTCCCAACTCATTTATGAGTTCTTTGTTAGATCTTCGCTCAATGGTGTAGGGCACTGCCTATCAATCCTATTGTCAGCAATGATGGCTAGTAGGAATCACATATCAAGACTTTGACAGATCTTGCACCTTTCTATAATGTGTGAAAAAGTTTTACTCGCTTAGCCTTTGCTCTACTAACTATAATTGGATTCATGTCAACAACTCCTGTTAGATTTTCCGTAAATAGTGTATATTTCTCATGTCAGACCCAAGTCTAGATACATGGATCATCAACATACCTTAAAAATACAATCAGTCCTAAAGCATGTGATAGGATATACACCCTTCAATCCCTACTATCTAACTTTATCATGTTTGAGAATTGATTCAATGTAGGCTGATCTGATCATATGCTACATTGAAAACTACCTATATTAGAATTCCCAGAAAATAAAACAAAAGTAAATTCTTGCATTAGAGTCATCCCCATAAACACTATATTGATCTAAATCAAATCTTCAATTATCGTGCACAATTTTGACCATCTTGCAATCTACTAATCAAACACACTCTTCCACGTCCTTCATAGTTATCATTCTCGTATACTGCATTCTGTGACCCAAACCACGTCATTCATTTGTTTACCTCTATTGTTCCAACACCTCTAAATGATTGTGGGAACCCAAGCCAGAATAGGATATTTCTTCAAACCTCTAAATCTCTTGAAATCAAGCCATAATTCATACCTAAGGCCTGACTTGACGAAGAGAGTGGGCTTTAATAAATTTTTGAAGTGGCGATCCCATAAATATAGCCAAAATTTGAAAGCTCCATCACGAGAACCTCATCAATTCCCACAAATCATATATCAATGCATTTAGCATTTAAGTAATTTAGTTTTGCAATGTAAAATCTTAATAATCTTATGTTCTTATAGATTATCTTGTCAAGATCTTGATTTTTTTATGAATACACAGAGTTGGAGATCATTTGGCTGCTGGATATGAATTTTAGTTTTTAAATGACATATCATTACTTTATTGTGGGCTCATTTTGAGCATTATTGAATCACTGTTGGAGTCAATGGCTTATCTTCATTGGAACTGATAATTCTATTTGCCAACTATTGTTGAAATTGAAGTATGAATTGGTCTAGAATTAAATTATATTAGTTTTCTAATTTAAATATGCATCACACATTCATTACCTATTAAGGTCAATTTTTAAGGTGTTTCAACAGCCCCATTTCATTATTTTTGAGTCGAGCTTTGTGCAGTTCAAAAATGTGTATCAATGTTTTCAAAAAACTTCGACAACCAAAAATTCTAATTGTGAAAAATTATAAAATATGATTAGTTCCATGGAACATCAAGTATCGAACTCCTTATACGACTTAATATAAAGTAAAATACTATACTCCTGAAAAAATAGACGAATGATTACAAAAAGAAATTATGGAACTTAATTACTCCATTTTGATTGTATAAATGTTCTCCAAAAGCTTTGAACAGTTGCCAAAATTAGCTAGGACAAAAGAAAATGGTCCCTATGCGCCCAAACAACATTTGAAATGCTGCTCGGGTCGACAGTGTGCATCAATCTCTCAATCAATGCAAGCAACACCAATTTAAAAGAGTGATACTCAAAATAGATCAATAACTCTTTTAATGGTATTTTTAAATTTTATCTTGAAATAAAATATTACTTAAATAAATTAAAATTTTCAATAAACCTTATTATATATATTATATAATATATATATATATATATATAGTAGTGGTGGGGGTGGGGGGGTGGTATTATATGCTTTCTCTTTCTCTCTCTGTTCTCGATATATGCTACCTTAAATTAAGGAGATATTATAAAAAACTATTTATATTTATAAAAATAAATAATATTAAATTTTCTAGATGGACAAAATAAATTTTGTTTAATATATTCTCTGCTCATATAAATTATTAATTTCAGTATATTATAAATATATATATATATATATATATATATATATACACACACCAAAAATCCATAATTATTTTAATAATTATCTTCTAATTCTAATTATCATTATTTATTCAATTAGTGACGTCACTTAAATTTAATTTCCAAAACATATGGGCATAAATTTGAATATTATCTCTTAAATTTTAAAGAGTTTATTTATATACACATTTTATTCCATTAATTTAACAACTTTTAATATTTAATTATAGATAATACTTTAAGGTTTTATTTAATATTGATATATCAGCATTATTCATATCGAGTTCAATTAAATCTTGAACATTCTTATTTCTCAAACAAAGAAGAGGAAGACAATTGTTAAACTGCAGTAATATTTGATTTTATTTTAAGAAAAAAAAAAGTTCTTAGGGATTCCATTAGAATTAGGTTAAATGTATATATAGTTGCACACAAAACCTATTTCCATAAAAAGAATTACCATTTATTTATCAACAAAGCTTTTCTTGTTATGGTTCTTTTTTTTTTTGGGAAAATTTGGGGCCTAAGCCCAATTCATTAATAAATGAAAAAAAAACAACATCAAAACAGGATCTGCACTCACCACAAACCGGTGGCAGACCTCAAAACCATATCAGCACTAAAAAAAGAGCTGCTTAATAAAGGAAAACAAAAGAAAAAACGGAAATAATGTTAAAATTGGAAGGACTCAGAAATGCAATTCCCGAATCAATCATCAGCGCGTCAAAATTCATCCAAAAGGATGTGTAGGTCCCCTGGTTGCCAAAAGACCTTCCAAGGGGATGTTTAAAGGATTGCGTACATCATCGTCCTTCAAAAAATAAAAATCTGGTTGCCCATAAGGACCTTCCAGAGTTTGCCCGAGTAGCTGCAGGGTCAAGAACCAATCCAGCTTCCACCGAAACAGAATGGTGGACATTGCAGATAACCAAAGTAGAGTTATGTCCATTTAACAGTTTTTTGAAGAACTGCCCTTTTGATCTTGGCAGAAATGGTAGATAGACAGTCAAAAGAGTTGCCAAATATCCTGTCGTTCCGGGCTTTCCACAGAAAGTAAACAGCGGCACAAAGCAGCATGAAGCATCGATTTTTATTGCTCTTGTCTAAGCCCCAATCCTCAATACAGTGAAATACTTGAGCAAGATTCGGCCTTAATAGCATACAATTCATGTAGGGAAAGAGTTTAAGAAGCAAATTGAATGTAAAATCACATTCAAAGAACAGATGCATATGATTCTCCTCAGATGTGTTGCAAAAAGTGCAAGTGGGATTAACAGTAAGCCCCCTTAGAATCAAATTATCAGCCGTTTTAAGCCCATTTTTAAAAACCATCCAGGTGCAAAGGGAAAAACGTAAAGCATAGTGCTTATGCCATACCAATTTGTGCCAAGGAACAGCCTGAATGTCTGAAAAGAAACAGTTATGAAAGGTTTTAAAACCAGGTTTGGATTTATTGGTCCAGTGACAATCCCCCTCAATACCAGATATAGGCACCTTTTTAATAATTTCCACAATGTGAGACGGTAATGTTTGAGGGAGAAGCCAAATTCCATTCTTCAGAACAGAGTTCATAGCCAAATTATGGGGGTAGATCAGATGATCCAAATTTTCCATTTTTAGTCTATCAGCAATCGAGGAACCAAAACACCAAGGTTCCCAGAAAAAGGTAAGAGAGCAATTATCATTGAGGCTAAAATGAAAGGAATCCGGTAATTTAGCAGCCACCCCACATATGAAATTCCAGAAAATTCCCTTTTTCTTAATTTCAGAATTCCAAAAGGATATATATTTAGCCTTCCACCACTTAAATAGATAGCTTTTAGAGTTGTAAAACCTCCAGATTAGAGAACAGCCAAAACCGTAGTAAAGAGATTCAATGGTGGGAAGGCCTAAACCCCCACAATGTTTAGGCAAGCAAGTATTCTTCCAAGATATGACATGAAGTTTCTTTTTATGAATGTCCCCATGATATAAAAATTTAGAGCACATGCTGTTAATCACCTTACTACAGCCTTTAGGAATAATAGTGCTTCTAATCCAATACGCCAAAATGTTGAAAATAGTATGCTTAAGGTATTGAAATCTACCAGCCAAGGATAAATTTCTAGCTTTCCATCCTTCAAGAGAGACTTGAATTTTTTGAATGAGGGGCTGAAAGTCAGATTTTTTAAGTCTCTTACTGAAGATGGGAATGCCTAGATATTTGAAGGCAGAGTGGACTAAAGGAATGTTCAAAGTTTCAGAAATAGCTTCTTCATTGTGCACGTTGTTAGATATTAGAAGAGTGCTCTTGGAGGGATTGACATGAAGACCCGAGATAGCAGCAAAGTCCTCAAGAATGTTATTAAGAGATAGGGCATTATGGATAGAAGCCCTGCCAAAGACAAGCAAATCGTCTGCATAAAGTAGATGAGAAATGGAGACATTACCAGTATTAATACCATGGAAAGAATGATTAGAAGCAGCCTCCTCAAATAAATCCGAGAGACTATCCATGGCCAGGCAGAATAGATAAGGTGACAGTGGACAGCCTTGTCTCAAATCAGAGGTAGAGTTGAAGAACCCTTCAAGAGCACCATTGATAGCAACCGAGAAATGTATATCATAAATACAGCCCTTGATCCAAGAGATAAAGAGGGGGGGAAAGCCCTTATCAATCATTCGGTTAATGATAAAATCCCTAGAGATTGTGTCAAATGCTTTGTGTATGTCATACTTAGCACAAAACATTTTCTCTTTATCCTTAACATTGAAATCCAAGAGAATGTCTGAAGCAAGCAAGACATTATCCGAAATAATCCTTTCATGAATAAAACCAGCTTGGCTAGGATGGATGATGTAAGGCATAACTTCTCTCAATCTGTTGGCAAGAATTTTGGCTATAATCTTGTAAAACGTGTTGCAAAGGGAAATAGGCCTATAATCTGAAATGTTGTTGGCATGAGGCTTTTTAGGAATAAGCACAATGGCCGTAGCCTTGGCTTGCTTAGGAAGAGTTCCCGTGTTAAAGAAGGACCAAATAGCTTCACACAGTTGCCTGCCAATGATATGCCAAGAAGACTTATAGAATTCAAAAGTATAACCATCTGGGCCCGGTGTAGAATGATTGGGGGAGGAAAATATAACATTCTTGATTTCATCCACTGAAATGGGGCCAACCAGTTGCGGAATAAGGGTAGTGGGAAGTTTGTTAAGGGTTGGAGCTTTGTGTCTATTGTTAGAGGTAGGGGAAGGGGTGTTAAAAAGTATTTGAAAATGTTGGATGATAGCAAGAGAAATGTCATTGTGATTGTTTAGGATACCATTACCCGTGGAAATGGCTTTAATAAGGTTGAAGTTATGCCTCACATTGATTTTGGAATAGAGAAATTTGAGATCATCTTCCCCACAAGTCATCCATTTAGCTTTAGCCCGTTGGATAGTCCAATCAGCCCACTCCTCATTTCTATCAGCAAGTTTTTGGTTTATAAGCTTTAGAGCCTGGTTGAGTTCAGGGTCCAGGGGAGTGACTTGAAGCTGGGAATAGATGGTATTTTGTTTTTGGTTTAGCTCATTAATATCTCTCTTCAAAGAAGTGGAAGAGGCCCAACTCTTTGATTTGATCTTAAGCTTCAAGGTCTTGAGCTTATGATAGAAAGAGTGGATAGGGCTGCTGTGAAATTTCTGAGAAAAAGTGGAAATGAGCTCATCCCAAAATTCCGGTTTGGACACCCAATAGTTTTTGAACTGAAAACGATGTTTCAAGTTAGTATTAACACCCTGCTGCACCACAATAGGAGAGTGATCCGAAATGTAAGGGTCATCCACAGTATAAAAAGAGTTAGGGTATCTATCCAGCCAGGCATCATTAACCAACATCCTATCAAGCTTGATATGGATGGGGTTATCAGTTCTCTGATTAAACCAAGTAAAAAAGTGTCCCACAGAAGAAAGCTCATGGGCCCCAATGTTATAAATAAGATTTTGAAAATCTGTGAGCTTATTGTCCTGGAGAGCCAATCCTCCAGCTTTTTCATGATTAAATCTGCAGCAGTTAAAGTCACCGAGAATGATCCAAGGTAAAGAAATTGAGTTAGTAATTTCAGTTAGATCATTCCAGAGAGTTCTCCTATCCTCCAGTGTGTTAGAGGCGTAAACCACAAAAATGAAAAATTGTTCTTTACTGTTCGTAGTCACCAAACCATGCACCAGTTGACTAGAAGTGAAGATATGATTAAAACTAACAGTGTTAGTATTCCATTTAAGCCAGATTCTGCCCGGAGAGGCATAGTCAAAGTTATCATAGGAACCCTCCAAGGGAAAAATGCGGTGGTTAGAAAGGAACCAACTGTTAGAGATGTTTGAAGGAGAGATTCTGGTTTCCAGAATGAACAACATGTCAAGATTGAATTTATTGACCAATTGTTTGCAACACAATGTTTTGTCAGGGCTATTGAACCCCCGGGTATTCCAGGCAGCCATAGAAGGGAGATTGGTCATTGGGATTTTGAGGTTGAGGGGGTAGCCTTTTTGGCTGTTTTGGATCTTGTGGTTTTTGTGTTGACAGAGATGTTTGTGTTTTGTTTTTCTTTCCCCATACTGGAACTGCCAGCTGAACCTCCACCCGCGTCAATCGGCTGATCATGAGAAGGGAAAGGGAAGGTATCACAGTTGAGGATCAGGGTAGAATTATGATCATTTTGATCAGACAAAATAGCAAATTTGTTGGTAATGGCAATATGTGTAGACTTTTGGGGAACATCGTCTAAAATAGATGCAGGTTTATGTTTGGAAATCGGGGATATAGGAGGAGATTCAGTTGTTGGGTTATTGAGGTTGGGCACCAGAGCTTGGGAAGAGGAAGTTGAAGTGGTAGGCAGGGCAATTGGGGCCGCAGGTTGTTCAATAGGTTCCGGTAAAGGGTTTGCAGGAGGTTTGGGAATATTAAGTCTAGGAGCTGGGTTAGGATTACGTGGTTTGCGGCTTGAGCTTCTACCACGAGTTTTTGGAGGTTCGGCCTTAGGTGGTTGGGGATTAGGGTTTTTTGGACATGCAATGGATGCATGCATAATAGAATTGCAGAAAGAACAGTGAGTTGGCTTCCAGTCATATAGAACAGAGAGAGGGAAGACTTTACCATCAACGGTATAATAAATCTCATCAGGGAGAGGAGAGTTACTGCAAACCTGGACGCACACCCTGGCAAAGGTGAGCCTAGTTTTTGCTGCCGTGAGCGCATCAACCGCCAGTGGAATACCAACACAGCTTGCAATCTTTGAGATGCCTTCCGGCGTCCAACAAGAAAGGGGAAAGTTTTTTATTTTGATCCAGAGAGGTATTGACGGGAACTCTTCACGGACAGGAACAAACTCCGGCGTCCACTTTTGCAAGATGAAAGGCTTGCCAAAAAAGAACCAGGGTCCACCCGTCCAGGCCATATCATAGTCCTCCCTGTTGTTGAACTTAAGAAGGAAGAATCCCTCATCAAGGGTCAGCAAAGAGAGCGTACCCTTTAGCGACCATGTTTTTTTGATAGTAGAAAGTAGGGCTTCATAATATGGTCGACGACCGATGGAATATCCGACCAGAGAGAGAGCCCACTCAGTACTTCCGGCGTTGAACTTTGCAGAAGTGAAATGAGCGGTGGCGTTTTCGGTCGGATGATGCGAGATCGAAGAGGTGAACTCATTCGATACAAGCGGCTGGGTGGCGATGAGGCTCTTCCAATCTCTGGGTAAACCAACAGAAGAGGAAGGAGCGGAAGGATGTGGGAGGAGCGGAGGGAGAGTAGAGGAGGACATCCCAACGGAGATCCTCCTCGGAGGGGAGGAAAGGGAGGCGGCCAGGGAACGCAGGATGCAAAACCCTAGCAGAGCGATTTTCCTTTCCTAATTTCCGCAATCTTTATGTGACAGTCATACACTATTATTCACTTGTATGGCATTTCACTTTTAGGATTGCTATATTAGCTTCCGAATTTCCTTAAGCTAATATTATCGAACGATATTATTGATATATTCTAAAAAAAGTATCTTGATCAAGCACGAATCTCGAAGCACAATCGAATCGGAAACTTCAAAAAATTAAATCCGGGAGCACCTGAACTCCGATTTCAATGAGCTTATAGTCAAATTGAGCATCTCAAAAATACAAACTCAACGACACCAAATTCAACTCAATCCGAACCCAAATGAGCCCGAATCAAGGAGCAATTATTAGGTCCTTTCACTGGATGTAGAGGAAGGTTCGGTTTTAGGCAAAAATAGGTCAAAAAGTGCAAATACCGAGTTTTTCAAAAAACTCGGTATTTTTTCAAAAAACTCGGTATTTGCACTTTTTTAGGCAATACCGAACCTTCCTCTAGGTCCTTGCACCGGACCAAATAAAATCAAGCACCTGAAGTGCTGTTGGAAAGTTCATATCACAATTTGAGTTACCAAACGGTCTCTGATTTTGACGAGCTTATAGTCAAATATAACGGCTCGACGAGAAGAATCCAACGAGCCCAAGATCGTCGAATTTTGACATCATTAAGACCTTCAAATGTCTAACAAACGGTGCACGATCAAGGGATTCAATATCAACCATGCCTCTTTTCATCATGGGGGGCAAAATGCTGCCGGAGAAGGAACCTCGGGACCTTCTTTAGAAGAAGAGAAGAAGAAGAGAATGAGAGGGAGAAATAGCTCATCCTCGACCACCGTCGGAGTTCTTACCGCCTCCTGAATAACGCCGGAATTCTGCCAGACATTTAGGTAACGCCGTAACTTTGCACAACTTTGTAATTGAATCTCAATTCAGGAGAAGTTCATTGTAATCTGATCGTCTTAACTTGGTGGACGAATCAATCTCTTGTATCTCAAACAAAACACTAGTGGAATCATTTCAACTGGGCGAGGCCCTGTGGTTTTTTCCCTTTTTAGGGTTTTCCATGTAAAAATCCTGGTGTTTATTTTTCTTTTATGTTTATGTGCTGAATATTCGTATAACGCTCGAACGAAAATTTACTAACTATATCGCCGCCTATATTCTAGCCCGCAACAGTTTGGCGTCGTCTGTGAGAAGCATTATCCCACAACTTCAATTATTGCTATAATGGTCAACAGACGTAGCAGTCGTATCGTTGGGGCTTCCCGCTCCAACTCCCACCAGTCCAGAAATCAGTCTATGAATCATAGACGCCCGATATCTGCCTCTTTTCATCATGGGGGGCAAAATGCTGTCGGAGAAGAAACCTCGGGACCTTCTTTAGAAGAAGAGAAGAAGAAGAGAAGGAGAGGGAGAAATAGCTCATCCTCGACCACCGTCGGAGTTCTTACCGCCACTTGAATAACGTCGGAATTCTGCCGGACATTTAGGTGACGCCGTAACTTTGCACAACTTTGTAATTGAATCTCAATTCAGGAGAAGTTCATTGTAATCTGATCGTCTTAACTTGGTGGACGAATCAGTCTCTTGTATCTCAAACAAAACACTAGTAGAATCATTTCAACTGGGCGAGGCCCCGTGATTTTTTCCCTTTTCAGGATTTTCCACGTAAAAATCCTGGTGTTTATTTTCCTTTCCTGTTTGTGTGCTGAATATTTGTACAACGCTCGGACGAAAATTTACTAACTCTATCGCCGCGTATATTCTAGCCCGCAATAATTATATACAATGTGCTTATTGTCAATTCACTATGATGTTAGCATTACTAATTTTATGCATATAAATACGCTTACAGTTGTATATACATTTTTAATTAGATAATTAAAATTTTCTTTTCAACATATTTCATGTTTGGATTTGAAGTATGGAAAATTTTAATAGATGTTCTATATTATCATCACATATCTAATTCACTACAAGAAAATTTTGGTTTACTGGCAGAATTACATTGCCGGTAGAAGTGACAGTGTAGCAGGCGAATATTCCGCTGGTGATATAGCGACAGAATTTTCGGCGGATATTTTGCTGGCAAATTATCGGCGGAAAATCCGCCGACAAGTCTGTTGGTTTTTGCAAAACTGGTGGTAACTTCCGGCGGATAAACCGCATGTAAGAGTGCCTCGTAAGCGTTGAATATTCCGCACAATTCCGCCGAAATATTTTTGGACGAAAAATTCTGCTGGAACTAGTTTTCCAACGCGCGTTTTACCGTCGACTGAATTTATGCCGGAAATCCGCCATGAATTCATATTTTCCGGTGGAATTTTTCAATTTCCTACGGATTTTGACTTCCGGTAATAATAGATTTTCCTGTAGTGATTCACCATGTTTTTAGAGAACTTTTATGCAAACAACGACCACACTAATGAGCATAAAGAAGAATGTACTTAAGAAAAATAGATGATTAATAAACTCATTTGCACAAAAATATTTAATAATGACAGGAAGCCCTCTCCTAAATGGATTATCAATTATCTTAAGGCAATCCAAGAAAGTCTTCCAAACAAAGATAGAGTTGATACGTCGTCAAAAAATTATATTGATCAAGCACGAATCTCAATGCAAAATCAAGTTAGAAACTTCCAAAATTAAAATTGGGACCATCCAAACTCTGATTTCAGAAAACTTACAGTCAAACTGAGCGTCTCGGAAATATGAACCCAATGACACCAAAATCAACTCAATCCAAGCCCAAATGGGTCCAAATCAAGGGTTAGAAGCGATGTTGGAAGGTTTGAACCGCAATTTGGATTAACAAACGGTCTCCAAACCTGACGTGCATATAGTCGAATCGAGCGGCTCGATGAGATGAATCCAAATACGAACCCAACGACACCAAATTCGACTCAATCCGAATCCAAATGGATCCAAATCAAGGACCCGAAGCGCTGTTGGAAGGTTCAAACCACAAATTGGATTACCAAACGGTTCCAAACATAACAAACTTATACTCGAATCGAGCGGCTCTAACGGCTCTAACGAGCCCAAGATCGTTGAATTTTAACAACATTAAGGTCTTCAAATGTCTAAAGAACGGTGTATGATCAAGGGATTCAACATTGGCCGTTCATCCGACCACTCCCCACTTATCCTTGATCTTTCACCTATTTTATGGGTCATGTCACTCCATAAATCTATAAATAGAGCTCCCTCACCTCTTGAAAAGGACCCCTGGAGCCTAAGGAAAAAAGAGAGAGATCGGAGATCGCTCTTGTTTCTTAGCCTCCTCGACCACCGCCAGAGTTTCGCGGGACCACCACTTGAGGTCCACCGGACAACCGCCTTACGACGTTGCTCTGCCGGACCACAACTTGAGGCCCTCACCTTCGTCGGACCAGCACTTGAGGCCCTCACCTCCGCTGGACCACCGCCTAATGCTGTTGCTCTGCCGGACCACCACTTAAGGCCCTCACCTTTGTCGGATCACCACCTGAGGCCCGGACTTTGCCAGACCACTACTTGAGGCACACAACTCCGCCGGGCCACCGCCTGGCGTCGTTGCTCCATTAGTTGAGGCCCTCACCTCCGTCGGACCACCTCCTGGCGTCGTTGCTCCGTCAGAACACCACTTAAGGCTTAGACTTCCACCACGCCGTCACTTGAGACTTTGTGCTCCACCAGCACACCACTTGAGTCCCGACTTCTGTCAGACCACCACCCGAGGTTCGGAGTTTTGTCGGACACCCGCTTGACGCCCTGTGCTCCACCAAAATATCACTTGAGGCTCGAACTTCCGCCAGAACGCTACTTTAGGCCTTGAGATCCACCAGGCCACCACTCGATGCCTAGAGTTCTCCCAAAACACTGCAACCTCTATCAACAAACAACGATCTTTCAGACCCCAGTCTCCTGCCGACTTTGATCCTTCAGATCTTCGTCACCTACTATGGCCCTTCCGACCTTCATCACCAGACAACGGACTTTCAGACCCCGGTCTCCTGCCAACTACAGTCTTTCAGACCCCGGTCTCCTGCCAATTACGGTCTTCCAGACTCCTATCTCTTGCCAGCTACGGTCCTCCTGACCTCCTTCGCATACTACGGTCCTTCCGACCTCCATCACCAGACAACGGTCTTTTAGACCCCGGTCTCCTGCCAACTACGATCTTCCAGACTCCTATCTCCTGCCGACTACGATCCTCCTGACCTCCATCGTCTACTACGGTCCTTCCGACCTCCATCACCAGACAATGGTATTTTAGACCGTGATCTTCTGCCGATTACGGTCCTCACAACCTCTGTGGCTTACTACGGTCCTTTCGACCTACATCGCTAGATAATGGTCTTTCTGACCCCAATCTCCTACCAACTACGGTCTTTCAGACCCTCATCTTGTGCCAATTATGGCCTTTCCAACCAAACAAACGTATATATTATTGTAACTCCCACTATGTAATGCGCTCTATATGATGTACATTTGTACCATCAACCCATGGCCTTCTCCCAAGGAAGGGCCTCATTTGTAATCAACTGCAAATACTAGTGGATTCATTCAAACTGGGCCAGGCCCCGTGGTTTTCCCCCCCTTTTAGGGGTTTCCACGTAAAAACTCTGGTGTCTCTTATGAATGATATATTCTCTCATTTATCTGATTATGTGCTGAATCTTCGTACAATGCTAAGACGTTAAGATATGAACACAGTTTGGTGCCATCTGGGGGGAACTGGTTCCCGACTGGGGTGCAAATTATTGCTCTAACTTCAAAAGATCGTTCATGTCAACTTTCTAGCTTCAGCTATTATTGTGTTAATTTTTTGGGATTCAGATCCGGACTGGGAGGCAACCTTGACTCCAACTATGATCAAGAAAATCCCTCCAATACTTTCAACATCAAGATGATATTTCATGAGAGTTCCAACAAATTCATGGATATTTTCAATCAATTATAAGCTTCATACAGTCCCCTACTGGACTCATACTCCTTAGGCAATATCTTGATCTCGACCTCAAAAAGGCAGTAACGGTCTAAAGATAGACCCTTCTTTACCTTTGATTTGGGATACATGCGGCGTTCGCCCTCTCCAAATCAAGGAAAAAATTGATCCCACGGGGATCTGATTCGACCTCTTCCATACAGGTTAACGTTATCAAGCAAAGGATTTGACATTCAACCTCGGATAGGTCCTACATCCTTGGTGGATTATCTCGACCTCTTCCACACAAGTTAACGTCATCGTTAAAGGCTCTGACATACAACCTCGAATAGGTCCTATATCCTTGGTGGATTCTCTCGACCTATTCCATAGAGGTTAACGTCATCGAGAAAGACTCTGACATACAACCTCGATTAGGTCCTACATCCTTGGTGGATTCTCTCGACCTCTTTCATACAAGTTAACGTCATTGAGCAAAGGCTCTGACATACAACCTTAGATAGGTCCTACATCCTTGGTGGATTCTCTCAACCTGTTCTGTATAGGTTAACGTCATCGAGCAAATGCTCTGACATACAACCTCGGATAGGTCCTATATCCTTTGTGGATTCTCGACCTCTTTCATACAAATTAACGTCATCGAGCAAAGGCTCTAACATAGAACCTCGGTTAGGTCCTACATCCTTGGTGGATTCTCTCGACCTCTTCCATATATATTAACGTTATCGAGCAAAGGCTCTGATATACAACCTCAGATAGGTCATACATTCTTGGTGGATTCTCTCTACCTCTTCCATATAGGTTAACGTTGTCAAGCAAAGATTCTGACATACAACCTCGGATAGGTCTTATATTCTTGGTGGATTCTCTCGACCTATTCCATACAGGTTAATATCATCGAGCAAGGCTCACACATAAAACCTCAGTAAGGTCCTACATCCTTGGTGGATTCTCTCGGCCTCTTCCATACAGGTTAACGTCATTGAGCAAAGGCTCTGACATACAATCTCGGATAGGTCCTATATCCTTGGTGGATTCTCTCAACCTCTTCCATAAAGGTTAACGTTATCGAGCAAAGGCTCTGACATACAACCTCAGATAGGTCCTACATTCTTGGTGGATTCTCTTGACCTCTTCCATACAGGTTAACGTCATCGAACAAAGGCTCTAACATACAACCTCGATTAGGTCCTACATCCATGGTGGATTCTCTTGACCTCTTCCATACAGGTTAACCTCATTGAGCAAAGGCTCTTACATACAACCTCGGATAGGTCCTACGTCCTTGGTGAATTCTATCTACATCTTTCATACAGGTTAAGGTCGTCGAGCAAAGGCTCTCACATATAACCTCGGTTAGGTTCTACATTCTTGGTGGATTCTCTCGACATTTTTCATACAGGTTAACGTTATTGAGCAAAGGCTCTAACATACAATCTCGGATTGGTCCTACACCCTTGGTGGAGTCTCTCGACCTCTTCCATACAGGTTAACATCATCGAGCAAAGGCTCTGACATATAATCTCATATAGGTCCTACACCCTTGGTGGATTCTCTTGACCTCTTCCATACATGTTAACGTCATCGAGCAAAGGCTCTAGTATACAACCTCGGATAGGTCCTATATCCTTGGTGGATTCTATCGACCTCTTCCATACATGTTAACGTCATTGACAAAGGCTCTGATATACAACCTCGGATATGTCCTACATCCTTGGTAGATTCTCTCGACCTCTTTCATATAAGTTAACGTCATCGAGCAAAGGCTTTGACATATAACCTCAGATAGGTCCTACATCCTTGGTGGATTGTCTCGACCTCTTCCACACAGATTAATGTCATCGAGCAAAGGCTCTGACATACAACCTCGGATAGGCCTTACATTTTTTATGGATTCTCTCGACCTCTTCAATACATGTTAACATCATCGAGCAGTACTCTGACATACAACCTCGGATAGGTCTTACATCATCGGTGGATTCTCTTGACCTCTTTCACAAAGGTTAACATCATCGTGCAAAGGCTCTGACATTCAACCTCAGATAGGTCCTACATCATTGGTGGTTCCAATATATGTTAACATCATCAAGTAAAGACTCTAACATACAACCTCGGATAGGACTTTAGTTGAAATTTTATCCGATGTCGGACTTCTACCTGCCATCGGACTACTGCCCGTCGTCGGACTTCTGCCCGTCAATGGACTTTCGTCGGTCTTCTACCCAACACAACACTTCTACCCGTCAACGGACTTCTGCCTATTGTCGAACTACTACCCTTCATTGGACTTCTGCCCATCGACGGAGTATCATCGGTCTTCTGTTCGAGGCAGTACTTTTACGCGATGATGGACTTCTTCCTGCCGTTGGGCTAATACATATCGTTAGACTTCTATCCGATGATGAACTTTCATAAGTCTTCTGCTCGAGGCCATACTTCTACCCGTCGATGGACTTTTGCTTATTATCAAACTACTACCCGTCGTTGGACTTCTGCCCATCGACGGAGTTTCATCGGTCTTCTGCCCGAGGCCGTACTTCTACCCGATGACAGACTTCTTCCTATTGTTGGACTAATACCCATCGTTGGACTTCTGTCCGTCGATGGACTTTCATCGGTCTTCTACCCGACGTTGTACTACTACCCGACATAGAAACTTCTGCACGTCGATAGAGTTTCGTCAGCCTTCTACCCGACGCTGTACTTCTACCTACCGTCAGAATACTACCCGTCGTAGGACTTCTGCCTGTCGATGGACTTTCGTCGGTCTTTTGCCTGACGTCGCACTTCTACCTGACGTCGTACTTCTACCGGACGTCAGACTTCTACTCGTCATCAGACTTCTATCCGTCGATGTACTTTTGTCGGTCTTCCACCCAACGCAGTACTTTTACCTGATGCCAAATCATCTGCCCTCGCTCCTTTGTCAGGCCTCCGCCCATCTTCAGGAGGGACGGCAGGATTTTTCCTGACCGCGAAATCTCTCAATGGAAAGTGATTGCCCGACATTACTCCAGTATAGAGAGGCCCTGCTGTTGGACAATGGATACCAATTGACCAAGGCCGAGGGAAAGCCTCCCGTATAGCAAGAGCACTGAAGGGAGAAGGAGAATGCTCTTTCTCGAAAAGAGGGGCCTTGCTGTTGGACAATGGATACCAATTGTTCAAGGGGCAGAGAAGGCCTCTAGTGGGAGAAGAGAGGAGAAGAAGAAGGCTCTTTCTTGCAAAAGGGGGCCCTGCTGTTGGACAATGGATACCAGTTGTCCAAGGGGCATAGAAGGCCTCTTATGAGAGAAGAGAGGAGAAGAAGAAGGCTCTTTCTCACAAAGAGGGGTCCTGCTGTTGGACAATGGATACCAATTGTCCAAGGGGCAGAGAAGTCCTCTAATGAAAGAAGAGAGGAGAAGAAAGAGGTGCAAAGATTTCATGCCCCCTAGGGGGGTATTTATAGCAAGAGAAAGAGAGTTTAAAAAAATAAAAATAAAAATAAAAATAAAGGAGCGGTCAAATTAACCGCCCCATACATGCGGTTAAATAAATCGCCTACTAAAAAGCAGTTAAAGCAACTACCCCCTAAAGAGGAGGTTAGAGCTAGACCTGTCAATTTCGGGTTACGGGTCGGGTTGACCCGAACCCGAAACTGACCCGGCAATATTCGGGTTCGGGTTGACCCGACCCGGTTTTGCAAACGGGTCAATTTTCTGTTTTTGCAAACGGGTCGGTTTTCCGGACCGAACCCGACCCGTTTCGGGTTCGGGTCAACCCAAACCTGAAAATTTCGGGTCGGGTTCGGGTCCAATATTGACAGGTCTAGTTAGAGCCGCCTCTTACGGCTCACATTTAAAAAAAAAAGTTCTATTGACCTATTTTAGAATAATCTTCAATTTATAAGCCGTGAACCAAGTAAATATCATGGCTTAATGATGATATACTTTGGGACGCGTTTGACAGTATTTGCTAAAATATAATCGTCGTACACGGTTTATAAATTATATATTCCAAACATCAATTGTACATTTGCAATATAATCTCATTTTTGATAAGATTTGAAATAAAGAGATATACATCTCTCCCATGCTATTATATTAATGATGTATAAACATTACATCATCAATAAGCAATAGTTTTGAAAATCTGTGCCGATTAGAGCCATGCAATTATAATTTATAACAGGATGCCAAAACTCTTAGAAAACTTTTTGATAATATATCAAAAAGATCATTATTGGAGGCATTTAGTGCCTCATTTGTAATTTACTACAAAATTTATATTTTTTGTCCTAACGGGCTAATTCAATAATTTTTAGAGTCCTGGGACAATTTTTTAATATTACCGACTCAATTTCAACATTTTTTTAGTTATCCGGGAGCTCTACGCCTGGGATTATTTTAAAATTTTCAAATCGCACAAAAATTTTCCTAAATTCCGCGACACATATTTTCAGACCTCTCGAGCTTCGAAGTCTGAAAATAGGGGGGCAACTTATACGTACTCAAAAAATTATCTTGATCGGGCACGAATCTTAATGCAAAATCAAGTTGGAAACTTCAAAAATAAATTTGGAGATCATCTCAACTCCGATTTCAGCAAACTTATAGTTGAATTGAGCGTCTCGGAAATACGAACCCAACGACACCAAATTTGACTCAATCTGAGCCCAAATGGATCCAAATCAAGGACCCAAAGCGCTGTTGGAAGGTTCAAACCACAAATTGGATTACCAAACGGTTTCCAAACATAACAAGCTTATACTCGAATCCAGCGACTAGACGAGACTATTCTAACGAGCCTAAGATCGTTGAATTTTGACATCATTAAGATCTTCAAATGTCTAAAGAATGGTGTATGATCAAGGGATTCAATATCGACCGTTCATCCGACCACTCCCCATTTACCCTTGATCTCTCACCTATTTATGGGTCATGCCACTCCAGAAATTTATAAATTGAGCTCCCTCTCCTCTTGAAATGGACCCCTGGAGCCTAAGGAAAAAAGAGAGAGATCGGAGATCGCTCTTGCTTCCTAGCCTCCTCGACTACCGCCAGAATTTCGCTGTATCACCACTTGAGGTCCGCCGGACCACCGCCTGACGCCATTACTCCACCGGACCACCACTTGAGACCCTCACCTTCGTCGTATCACCACTTGAGGCCCTCACCTCCGTCGGACCACCACCTAATGCCGTTGTACTGCCAGACCACCACTTAAGGCCCTCACCTTTGTCGGACGACCACCTGAGGCCCGGACTTTGCCGGACCACCACTTGAGGCCCTCATAGCCACCGGGCCACCACCAGACGCCGTTGCTCAACCACTTGAGGCCCTCACCTCCGCCGGACCACCGTTGCTCCGCTGGAACACCACTTAAGGCTCAAACTTCCGCCAAGCCGTCACTTGAGTCCTTGTGCCCCACCAGGACACCACTTGAGTCCTGACTTCTATAGAACCACCACCTGAGGCCCTGAGTTTTGTCGGACACCCGCTTAAGGCCCTGTGATCCACCATAATATTACCTGAGGCCCAGACTTCAGCCAGACCGCTACTTTAGGCCTTGAGATCCACCAGACCACCACTCGAAGCCTAGAGTTCTCCCAAAACACTGTAACCTCTATCAACAGACAACAATCTTTCAGACCCCAATCTTCTGCCGACTATGGTCCTTCAGATCTTCGTCGTCTACTATGGCCCTTCGACCTTCATCACCAGACAACGGTCTTTCAGACCCCGGTCTCCTGCCAACTACGGTCTTTCAGACCCCAGTCTCCTGCCAACTATGGTCTTCCAGACTCCTATCTCCTGCCTCCTACGGTCCTCCCGACCTCCATCGCCTACTACGGTCCTTCTGACCTCCATCACCAGACAACGGTCTTTCAGACCCCGATCTACTGCCAACTACGGTCTTCCAGACTCCTATCTTCTGCCAACTACGATCCTCCCAACCTCCGTCGCCTACTACGATCCTTTCGACCTCCATCACCAAACAACAGTCTTTCATACCCCGGTCTCATGCCAACTACGGTCTTCCATATTCATATCTCCTGCCGACTACGGTCCTCCCGACCTCCATCGTCTACTACGGTCCTTCCGACCTCCATCACCAGACAACGGTATTTCAGACCCCGATCTTCTACCGACTACGGTCCTCACGACCTCTATCGCCTATAACGGTATTTCAGACCCCAATCGTCAGATAATGGTCTTCCTGACCCCAATCTCCTACCAACTACGTTCTTTCGGACCCTCATCTCGTGCCAATTATGGCCTTTCCAACCAAATAAACATGTATATTATTGTAACTCCCACTATGTAATGCGCTCTATATGATGTACATTTGTACCATCAAGCCAAGGCCTTCTCCCAAGGAAGGGCCTCATTTATAATCAACTGCAAATACTAGTTAATTCATTCAAACTAGGCCAGGCCCCATAGTTTTCCCCCCCTTTTTAGGGGTTTCTACGTAAAAACTCTGGTGTCTCTTATGAACGCTATATTCTCTCATTTATTTGATTATGTGTTGGATCTTCGTACAAAGCTAAGATGTTAAGCTATGAATTTCTCTACCGCAATGAATACTCCAGGACGCAACAATAATAGTAATCAAATAAATAAACAATTAATGTATGTAAGTTATATTATTAGTTAAGTTAGATAATACTAACTAATATTCTAAATAATAATTATATTATTAGTTAAATTATTTGGTAATTAAATTAGCTTCAATTATATTATTAATATTAGTTGTATTTTATTTCTTGTTGTATTTTAATTATCCTAGAAATAAATGTCAAATTTCTTCACTAACGTAAATCCTGAATTTAATTGTCAAATAGTCACACAAAATTTTTTACGATTTGTATTGAATGTTACCAAACAGATTTCAGAATTTAACCCCCTAGGATTTCGTAAATCCGGATTTAGAGGTTTTATGAAATCCTACTTAAATTAATTCCTTGGTGCATCCCAACAGCCCCTAAGAATATATTTTATTTGTCCACAAACTCCTCTTTATACTTCTTTTTGAGGGAAAGGAATAATAAAATGATAATATACTTCTTTTTGAGGGGCTCGTTTTTCCCGGTCTCAGGCATTGCTGCTGGGTTTTTTGGTTGCAGCTTTTGTAAAATTCTGTTTTTTATTACACTCAAAGTTGTGACCCTTCCTTAATTTGTAATTACTTTATAGTTTAATGAAATTGGGAAAAGCCCCAATTGAAATCAGATTTTGATCCTCAATAAGAAAAAGAAGCATCCCTATATTTTGCAAAAATTTTACTTTATACACCCTATGATAATGAAAAAAAAATATATATATACCATGTATTTGGAAATATGCCACAAAATTTCTCCTGGTTAAAATACCCCCACTACAGTAGCAATTCAAATGGATGCTCGAGCAAGCACATAAGTGACCTTTTGATCAAGAAATAGATCAATCACTCCCATTCCTAGTGCCTCTCCCATCTCCAAAGATTTTCAATAATGTGTGATTAGTTGGTAGCAAAATTTTAGGGCAAAGTGTTCTCTTCGTCTACATATCTTTCTCCAGCTAATTTGGAGATTATATATTGATACGTTCTCAAAAATTACTTTGATCAAGCATGAATCTCGAGGCATATTCAAGTTGAAAATTTTCAAAATTAAATTTGGGATCATCTAAATTTCAATTTTAGCAAATTTATAATCAAACTGAACATCTCAAAGAGACGAACCAAACAACATCAAAAATTGGTCCAACCCAAGCCCAAATGGGTCCAAATTAGGGGCCCGGACCACATTTGGATGGGTCAAAGTATTATTTGGATGATAAAATGATATATAAATGTGGCATGCTTATAATCAAATCGAGCGGCTCGGCGAGACGAATCCAACAAGCTCAAGATCTCTGAATTCCGACATCATTAAGGCACATAAATAGTTGAAAATTTCTCTACGATCGAGGGAATCAATAAGAACTATCCGATGGAGCAGTCCGAATCAGCCCCCGGATCTTCTCTAAATTTATGGGGTGTGT